CGATTAATCGATTAATCGGCCAAATTATTAAAACACTTAGTTACATAAATATCAGTAGATATAAATTCATTTAATTCCTGTATAAATCAGGGATGCAAGTTATCGATTAATAAATTAACCTGAAGCTGATTTACAGTATCTTATATATTGACTAACAGTTAATTAATAAGCAGCCATTTTCTGAAAAACCAGAGTTTTCTATTGAATCAAGAGGGTCTTTTCATAAAATGAAGGATTTTTTAAAATAATATGCTAAATAAAAAAAGAAGCACATCATAAATATTTTCACAACTGATTTTGCAGCTGTATTAAACACTGACTGGAAAAAATAAATCCAAAAATGTGGATTTCTCATGCATTAATACACTTGGTTATAGATATAAAACATAACGAAGCAGAAATTTAACAGGTTGCTGAATGAGGAAAACAGATAAAATGAATAAAATATGATTTTTAGATGTAAAACTATTATTAACTTATTATTATAATTAGAGTTTATTTGCATTTAGAATTTATGAATTTTTTATTTTATTTACGTTTTGCTTCCTTCTGGTTCTGTCTGACTGAGTGAACCGGTTCTGAAGCAGCGCCCCATCCCTCCCCACTCCCCTGAGTCAGACCAGGAGTTCTGCTGCGTCTTTTTTTTCCTTCATCCTGAACCTTTTTGCTGTTTATCAAATAACTTTGAGCCTCMGTCAGAAAAAAAGACGAGYGTTTTATATTTCTGGTCTGAGAGGAGGAAAGAAATGGTGGACTGAGGTCGACTGAGGTACCTTTTTTTTTCGCCWCYGGARGTGTTTCCTCCTCACGACGCGGCGCGCATCAAATCATACATCTTTTAAAAAAAATTAAATGTTCCATATACTTTCTATCATATCTTCAGATCTACTGAGCCTAACAACACAATTTAAAAACTGGTTTAAAGTTCAAAGTCTCTACTTTTCATTRGKGTCTCAGAGAGGGCGGAGCTACAGGTAGYGATTTTTTTTCTTCCTAAACTTTCAGGTCAGCCAGCATTAACAACGCTCTGCGGGTGACTTAAACGGCTCTGCGACACGGTGAGGGACGCATAAATCGCGCYAAACAACAAATCGATAATGAAATTTGTTGCCAAKGCTTTTAATAATCGATTTTTATCGATTCGTTGTTGCAGCCCTACTTGTCAGCAACAGACCAATCAGCAGTGATATTAAACAGGAAGTGACATGCGTCCTAACCACAGGAACTGTCCAGCCTTTAACTCTAACAACACAGATTTCCATCAACAAAGCTGTGAACTTTGACATCTAACAGTAGCTAAACATCAGAGAAGGTGCAGCTCAGACYTGTCATCCTGACGTTAGAGGCAGAATACAGCTTATTAGACAAAAACATCTCACTAAAGCTACACAGGTGTCTGTCTGTGGTTCTACTAGGTTCAGCCTCACTCAGGTGTCTCCATTTCCAACCATGCTTTCAGAACCACCTCTGAGGTGACTCTATGTGGGTAGAACAGAGTACTGCACGCAAACCAGCAGACCTTCACTCCTGACCAGTCAGAATGGACAATGGAGACGGGGTTCTAATGTTTTTATTTTCTCATGTTTGTGATGGCTTGTCTCCTTTTTCTACATCCAAATGAAAGCTGATTGGCTGCAATATAAGTTGCATGTTTATAGCATTTTACTGAACAGTTTAGGTAGCAATACATGGGCGTTAAACCTAATTTAGACCTATTAAAAACAATTTAACACTTGAACACAGTAGTAAATTTTAGACTTTTTAAGAATAGAAGAGAAACAGCCTTTAATGTCCCGCGTGGGGAAATTCAGGTGAAGAAGCAGCAGATATGTACATTAATCCACAGAAGAAGTATATTGCTTTGTGGAATTATCAACTGTAGCAATAATAATAGAATTAAAGATAGTAACAATAAAAATAAACATAGATCTAAATAAAAATAAGAATTACTGTACTGGACTATCAAGACGAAATTAGATGAAAATGAAAATAAAAGCAAGATACTGTGCAGAAAAATATGAAATTACGGGGGGACCCAGACAGAAACCCTGTTTTATTGTGCCGACAGCTGCTCTCCAAAAAAAACCGACATCAATAGTGTCCCAGACGTCTTAAGACAAAATTAAAGTTTTTTTTAATTCGGAAGAAGCTGCGGGTGTCAAAATAAAAGCTGTTTAGAGACTTCTGATTTACGAGTTGATTTAATTTGCCTCCTACATGGCAGCAGTGTGACACACACACGTACATCACTGTGATCAGGCTTCAACGACACATCACTCATCCTATAAGCTCCCAGTTCAAAAACCCAGAACATGTGGAGGTCCAAGTCACACACTCTGGGGTTTTAAGCGACGTTATTTTAATTAAAACAATTAAAGAAAATCTCTTTATCTCCTGTCTGTTTATAGTAGCAGAAAAATGCACTGATTGCTGGAAATCTCTGTAGTTATGGCCTTTATTTCATCATATACAATAAATAAAGTTAAAAAGATGATTTTTAACCTAACCCAGTTCATTAGTCTACATTAGCAGATGTTAATAAAACAACACTGTGTTCAGCAGCAGCCCTGACTAAAACCCTCAGGTGACCACTCACGATTTGTCGTTGCTGCTGTGTCGGTCAAATTCTCGTTTTCCGCGGGAGTCGAAGCCTTCTCCTCGGCCCATGCCACGCCCTCTTCCACCGCGCCCCCCACGGCCGCCACCACGCCCTCTCAGGGGCCTGTCTGCAGAAGGCCTGTTGGACAGAAACATGGACCGTTTCAGTCAGTTCTGTGAGGCCTCGGCCTCAGACTGGTCCGCAGTTCCACTCACCTGTCTACGGGGAACTCCGCGCCCCCCTCAGGCTTCTCCTCTGCAGGCTTGTCAAAACGGCGCTCACGAGGTGGCCGGCGGTCTGGCCTTTTGTCTCCAGGTCGCCCTTCACCTTGGCCACCTTGGTGCTGGGATCCAGACTGACCCTGCTGGTCTGGTCTTCTGCCCACCCGCCTGATACCTGCAGATCAYCCACAGCTGGTGAGTAAATTCTGCTCTAATCTAAACCATCAAACACGTTCTGTGCAAAGACAGTTAAAGCTAGTGTATGATGGCAGTCAATGGGCCTCATGCAATAACTGTTCGTATTCTTATCCTAAATTTATCTTACTTTTGTTCGTACAAAGGGTTTGTACGAACATGTCACGTCAGATTCAACAAACTCTTCTATCTTCATGAAAAGTGTGTAAATGAGCTGCGTCATTTACACCTGTTCTATCCAGCTGCTCGTGCACATGAGAGATTAGCATAATTACCACCCCAAAAACACCATATAAGGCTATGTTTCCTGCCTCAGATATCAGGAAGTGTTCATTCATGAAAATGACAGTGAAAACTAAAAAGAAAAACTTTACGAGTTCAGAGATTGAAGTCCGTCTGTCAGAGATCCAGAAAAGAAAATCTGTCATTTTTAGCAGGTCAGCTGTGGAATAAAAAGAGCTGCTAAAAGTATAAACAACGGTGTTAAATCATTTTCATTTATTCAGAAGTGGCAGCGCTGCGCACCGTATTTATTTTCAACTCAAATTATCTTCCAACTAACGAAATATAAAGTTATTAGTGAAGAAAACCCGTCTGGATAACAGCAGACTGACTGCTCGTAAAATATACGACAGGTCTGGACCACTCATGAATTTTGTTCGTATCTGAAAAAAATCTTAGAATATGAAAACATTGGTGAATGCCACAAATTCTCCTAAARCACTCGTACGCACAACTTAAGAACAAATCTGTGCATACGAACGGTTCTTGCATGAGGCCCAWTGTTTTGGGTTTTTGTACCACCGGGATACACAGTGAGTTGGTTCTAGCAGCTGCTGCCCGGTCCAGTTTCTTATTCTTCTAAATATCTACAAAAAGCTGATTTCTTTAAAAGTGACAAATTAAACTAGTTAGGTCAATTAACACCTCAACGTCTAGATGAAGTGTATCAAAGTGTGGTACACAAAATGTTTCCAGTCTTCTCATGGGTTTGATTTTGTTCTGAAATATTAAAATATGTTAATARGTGCAGAGTGGTCAACTTTGCTTGGGAGACGCACCTAAAAATGTTGACTTTGTATGTTTTTTTCCCCCCAGAGATCCCCTGATTGGATGTAATGAAAATTCCTTTCTTTCAAAATTTCAGTTTGGTCAAGCTTTTTTATGTTTATGTACAAGTCAGATAAATGTAAAGGATTCATTAAAAGCTTAGTAAGACTTCATTATAAACACTCTTCTACACGCCTCTTCAACATGACAAAACCAAGGAAAATGAAATGCTTCAAGTGTCAAATATTTAGTTATTTTAAGGGWTTTCATTACTGATTTTGATAATTGTAAGAACAGTTGTATAATCAATTAACTAACTGGTTATTTAGTAGCAAGTTTTCATTTTTATTTATCTTTGCTTGGTGCAAATGTTTACCTTTAAAAAGCTATTTTTGAACTTGCTTTACATATTTAAATAAATCCTGAATTGTCTTGATTTCCTATAAATATGTCCACACAAAAGTCTCATAACGACCAAAGTTTAGTTTAATTTTGTGGGGTAATACTAGAATGATCAATTATATATAGATTGATCACTACTGATCAGTTTTTAAATGTCCCAAATTAACAATGTCCACTAAATTTGCTACAACTCTTTTTCTCAACTAATTTAATTCTTCCACCATGTGCAGCAAAACATTAAAGGCTTCAGGAGAGAACAAAAGTAACATTTGTGTTCTAACTTTCTAATCTATTGCTACTTTGATAACTTCATAATAATTACATAAATGTGACTGCTGAAGGTAAACACCTGTACACAGATGTAGTTCTGAACTGATGGCAAAATGTCCAAGAACATATAACATTATTTTATGCAACACATATTATCAGTTTTATCATTTTTAATTAAAAAAAAAAACATCTAGTTTTGTTTATATACAAGCTGTATATAAACCTTATTATAAAAGCTAACACAGCCCCTCCAAAGGAAAGCCTTCCTGTGACATTTAAGAGTTTTTACCTGCACAGGTGCGTTATTATTATTGGATTATTTTACCTGCACAGGTGCGTTATTATTATTGGATTATTTT